GTCGCCGCCCTCGTCTTCCTCCGCTCCGTCGTCGGAGACTACAACAACCTGTTCGTCGCCGCCGAGGCCTCTCACGCCATTGGAATCTCCCTCCTCATCTATAAACTCACCAAGGAGAAGACCTGCGCCGGTTTGCTTTCATCTCTCTTTCTTGCCCTAGTTTCGATTTCTAGGGTTTGGGTGGCTGAACTTTGGAATTATATCTATTACCAATTTGGACGAGGCACTTGAACTGCGATCCTTAGAATTGAGGGTGGGTTTTCTAGCTGTATACCGCAAAAATCAACCGTATTTGTATATTTACCCTCCAAATATAGATATTTGCTAATTAATTTACCTCCTGATTCTGCCAATTGAGTTAAATACCCTCCAAAAGTGTTAAGGAATAATATGCAGGATATTTTTAATTTTTCTGTTTGTTGTTTGGCAATGTTTACGTAATGTTTAGGGGGTATTTTAGTTCATTGAGGCAGAGTTGGGTGCTAAATTAGCAAATATATAGATTTTGAAGTAAATTTGCAAATATGGTTGATTGGAAGGTGTATAGATAAAAACCTTAATAGCTTATTCTCTGTAGTGGTAACTGTTGGTGAAGGAGCAACACATATATTTTTAGAAGGCAGAATCTTAAATTTCATTTAGGTATAAATTTTAAATGTTTGCTTACAGGGAATTGAAATAATGAGATGATGAGGCGAAAATCTAATTGTTTAATGACCAAATTGGTTACCAAAATTGCTTATCTTCACCATCCATCTTTTGTTATGAACCAATGAACCGACATGCGGATGAATTTGCATATTTTTGCCTTTTTGGGACTCAATCCTGATGTACTGCCATCTATATGCATGTTATTTCTTCTATGTCAATAATTTCAATGCTAATATGGCTTCCTTTTTTTCCCCTTGATTGCATTCCCTTGCTTTGTGCAGGACTTTCACTCAAGTCCCAGGAATTGACAGCTTTATTTTTAGCTGTTAGACTTTACTGCAGCTTTGTTATGGAGTATGACATCCATACACTACTGGATTCTGCGACTCTCGTTACAACTTTGTGGGTTATTTACATGATTCGGTTCAAACTTAAGGCTAGTTACATGAAGGATAAGGACAACTTTGCAATATATTATGTGGTGAGACTTTTCTTATGTTCTTTCCCTTTCTTACATTTTGGAGAGCCATTGCATTTATATCGCAAACTTACTTTTAAAAAGTAGTGAATTTATTTTTCCTTGTGCATAGGATGCATGGATGTGGATTGAAGCATGTATCATATGATATTGCAGTCAAGTGCATCAATCAACCTGTAATAATATTGTTGCATGCAGTAATCACTCATCATAGAAGATGTATATAGAGATAATTAACTTTAGGTGTGTTATATGAAAGCAAATGCATGTAGTTCAGGTTAGCATTGTGCTTTGTCAATCATGACAGCTTAGACCAACATGCCAAAACATTATCGATAATAATACCATTCGGATCATCTTGCACATTATGGGC